TTTTTTTATTATTTAAAAGACAAATGATAAAGTATCGATATCGGTATCTGCGATATCAGCCCGAATTTTACTCGGTATCGGAGCGGAAGGGAAATTGGTGGTATCGAACATCACTATTGGTCACCGAAGTGGGGCGAGGGGAGGAGCTACAATAAAATTTGTGTTGGTTTCTGCAAACTGTTAATCATCAGAAGTCGACGCTACATCGGATATAGTTAAATCTACCGTGTGTAACGTGCATACTTTTCACACGGGTTTAGGTTGTACAGGTTGACAGAAAAGCAGCATGATTTGATGTTAAAACAGTATAATCCCAAGGCACAGAATGCCCTTGAAAAATGGTCGGAAGTGTTTTATAAAGCAAAGAAACGTGAACAACCATTTTTGGAATTATTGCCACGAGAGGGAAAAGAAAAACAGGAAATACGGTTTAAAGAAAAAAATGTGTGTTTTCACGTGATGAAGGTAATTTGAATGAAAAGGCCAATGTTGTGGATGACGTCAATAATGACAGTTTCTAATGTTAGTAAACGCTCAGTCATAGAAGCCATAACAGTGACAGGTCAAGGACCAGCTACCGTAGCACTTTAAACGAAAAACATGCCTTGATTTGGAAGCTGAAATAGCTGCATCCACTGCTGAGCTGTCTGTATTACAGGCTCCAGAGTGGAGACGTTCTCCCAAAGCATCCAGCAATGGCTTTTCTTATTTGGAAAAAAATCTGTCAATGTGTTGAACCCTAATGCGGAATATGGAAATGAACAAAATAAACGGGAATCAACAGCTCCCAACAAAACTCTATGAAAGGATGTGAGACCCATGGAATCAGGGCATTGGTATCAATGATACCTCAACGATGGTATCAAGCTGCTTCAATGCATCTGTGCAGCCAAAATGAACCGCAACAGGCAAATACTATATGTCTGCAACATCACTGCAATACCAATGGCCACCTGGAAGAGTTGAGGCAGGAAAAGCGGATTGTTTGTACCAACTGGAATAGTTTATTCCAGTTGAACAACCAGGCAAATTGGTGCTGAGCTCCAGCAAAGGACTCCTGAACGTGGCTACACTAAAGGACTGGCAGAGAATCAATTCTGAAGAGGTGACAGCAAAGGAAGGTATGTTCTTATTCCTGCACTGTAACAGAGGTGCTGCAGTACCTGCAGGAACTGGATATGCCAGTAAATATTACATAGAACCACTGTGCTCAAGTTGAGGAAGCAATGATGTCATAGCACATGACATCATGGAGACAACCAATCAACCAGCTGGCTTCATTCATCTGGTCATGTTTATTGAGCGTCCTGTCAGTATTCTTTCTGAGCCTCTAGTATTTTTCATTTATATTGTACACTTTATCAATTTAAACTTTATGTAAACTAAATAAAGTTTAGTTTAGTTTAACTAACTAAATAAGTTGAGTTCTTCGAAAGTACGGTGTGACTACGGTGAGAGATTTTTGTGGAGGTTTCTGTTTCAGTGAAATCAGTATTATATAGCCATCCACTTCAGGTCTTCATGTTACTGCTTCTGTTTTCTATCTGGCATCTATTCAAGCACTTTATTTTTAACAGTATGTGGTGTCAGCCATTAACCTAGCATAAGAATGTGGTAATTATCCTGTCTTTGATGAAGATAAAGGTCATGATCCTTTCAAGTGATGCTGACTTTCATCTTTTGGATCCAAATTATGATTAGAAGCTAATTTCACACATTAAAAAAAATAAGTTGTTGATAAAGTTTAATCATAGAGCAAGACAAGAAAAACGAAGGAGGGACAATAATCGTCAACTAGGTTTGTGTTACATGCAGCTAAAAAAAGCAGTGGTTCCAATAACAATAAACAACCATGTCTGAGAGAAAGGCTGTGATCAAGAATGCCGATATGTCGGAGGACATGCAGCAGGACGCCGTGGATAGCGCCACCCAGGCGCTGGAGAAGTACAACATTGAGAAAGATATTGCGGCACATATTAAAAAGGAATTTGACAAAAAATACAACCCAACCTGGCACTGCATCGTTGGGAGGAACTTCGGCAGCTACGTGACTCATGAGACCAAGCATTTTATTTACTTCTACCTAGGCCAGGTGGCCATTCTACTCTTCAAGTCGGGTTGAGCTGCTTTGGCTCCAACAACAGTAATGAAACACGGTGTTGATGGTTTCAACCCCCCACCCACCCCGCCCCCATGGTCTACTGCTGAAAGTCAGAAGAAACAAGAAAATGGTTCTTTCAGAAGAATGAAGTTGTAGTGACATCTGACCACCACAACAGGCATCATGAGATTTTAGATAGGGTGCGGGGGGGACCTTTACAGGCTAAAATTGGGAGGGGGAAGGCTATAAGAAGGAATTTTGTGAAGGATTATGGTAA